TTTCAACTCCAGGTAAAGGGACGGCTCCTGAGGAAGCGGCTTTGAGTAAGCCCCTTGATTAACCCTCTAGTTTTCCCATTTGGGAGGGAGTTTGTTGGTAGTGACAAAACTTTCCTTTCAGGAGTTTTTCAAATAAACTTGCATTTATGGTTGTAGATATGGATAGAGATTCTGATATAACTGCTCTCAAATGGCCTGATTTAATCTGTTTACATTATATTTAAACTAGAGCTCTGGTGCACAAAATTTGTGCCCCCCTGGGGGGGCATTTTTAATCCCAGCGTGTGCCCTCTCACAGTCCAGGAGCCCTGGGGATGTCTGACTGATGGCTTTGGCCCCTCTCCTGCCCTGCTGTGGAGGTGGGAGGGGCTCCTGACACCCAGCTGTACTTGCCAGCTGTGAACCCAGCTTCTGGCTTGAGCAGGGGAGTGCACTGACCACCACGTGGCAGCTCCTGCATTGAGCATCTGCCCCCTGGTGGTAGGCATGCATCATAGCAACTGGTCATTCTGCCTTTTGGTTGATTTGCATATTATCCTTTTATTATATAGGATTTCCCAGTTAATTACCAATTACCTACTTAATTCTGGAGGTTATAGCCTCAGGGGAAATTTCAGTGGTGTGGTAGTGATTTATTTCTTAGGCAGCTCAGAAGCACACTTATTTGTGGATGCTGTGCTTGTTTTAGTGAATGTTTAAGAAAAAGAAAGAAACAAAAACCACTTACATATGTTTTTATGTATATACACCAAACCACCCAAATAAACAGAAAACCTGCAATGATCCTTAGGTAGGAATGGTTTAACACAGGTTCTGACTGAGTCATGATTATGACTACATTTACAAAAGCTTCTCTGGTGCAGAGGGAGACATACACCATGGTTTCTAGTGTTCTTTTCTGGTAAAGGAAGCGACTGCAGAGAGCCTTTGCCCAAAATGCCTGTGCCATAGATGCAACCATCCAGCCAGTCCCCAAGTGCTGCTTCAAAGCAGATATCAAACTTGATTTTCATTAGAATATAGGTATTTCTTATGCTAACAAATAAAAACCCAAGACCCAGATTCATCTGTAACAATAACTATGACTAAACTATAGCTAGTAACTGTAACTATAACCATAACCATAAATAAACTATAGCCATACCAATACCCACTCCCATACCCATAACTATAACTATATCCATAACTATAACTCTAAACATAACCATACTCATACCCATAACTATAACCATAACTAAACTATAACCATACTCATACCCATAACTATAACCATAACTAAACTATAACCATAACCATAATTAAACCATAACCATAACCAAACTATAACCATACCCATACCCATAACTATAACTATAAACATAACCATAACTAAACTATAACCATAACCATAACTAAGCCATAACCATAGCTATACTATAACCATAACCATAACCAAACTATAACTATTATAACTATATATGGAAAGCAATGCCATTATTGGGCTTCATCTTCTGGGTAAGAATGCCAAGTTAGACTCTCCTCACCTGAAGCAATTACAACTGAGGACACTCCTATTTGCCTCTTTTGCCAGCAAAAGCCGTCTGCATCCTCTGTCTCTTGAGAAACAGTGGCTCCCACGGTCTGTGGCCCCGAGTGGTCCTTCAGGATCACACCTCTGCCAGCCACGGGGCTTAGCGGCGGCAGCTCTTCTCCCCGGTTTACTGTCATCAGAGTCCCTGCAGATAAAGATTTTCTTTTTGTGCCAACATTTTCTTTACCAGCTTTTGGAGAATGAAGAGATGCTTCCATGACTCTGGACCTTCCAAATTCCCTTCAGGTTCCCAAGCATCATCGGCCTGTGGGTCCCTCTGGCGCGAGGGAATCACCCACTGACCATTTGCTCAACGTTATTCCAATACTTTTTCCACTACAGTTTCTTCAGGCTCTGTCTCTTCAGCTTGTACTCTTTCATTTTGTTTTGTTCCCATTTTTTTTCAATGTAGTTTTACTGAAGACTGTTTTTTATTGCAGACTTTGATAGTTACTCTCCACCTCAGAGCTGCTCTGGGCCTTGCCCACCTGCAGTCCAGCCCCATCCTAAGGGAGGGGTGGGGACTGGCTGCTATAGCATTTGGATTTCTAGCCTGTGTTCCAGGCTCCTCTGCCTTCTTTTAAAGAGGAAGGGAGAGAGAGAGAGAGGCACATCAATGATGAGACTCATTGATCGGCTGCCTCCTGCACACCCACTCCAAGGATTCAGCCTGTAATCAGGGCATGTACTCTGACCAGAAAACCAATAGCGACCTCCTCATTCACGTCGATGCTCAACCACTGAGCCAGCTGGGCTCTTCTGCCTTCTCTAATATGGAAAGTTCTCCTCCTCACAGGCACACAGACAGGAAGTAGCAGCTCCTTCGAGTATGAGATGTCTCAGGAAGGCTTCAGTGCTTCCATAACCTCCGTAAGTGCCCTCTGCTTCAAGGTGGGGTGGTAAGAAGGGGGCGAAGAGGCCAGGGGTTGGGGCTCCTCTCTGCAATGGGTGTGTGTCCCGACCAGCGGGAGATCAACGTGGGGGCGAGGAGGCACCTAGAAGGGAATGATAGAGGACAGGAGACACGAAGAAATGGAGGCAAGACAAAGTTCTGATCAAGCCTCAAACTTTATTTTTTGAAATGGCAGTATATACACAGCAGGAACAAAGTGGGGCAGGGTTGCCTACGCAGAGGGGTCTTTGGCAGTGTATAATTGGTTTAGGCACTGAGTGACAAGGTGGTAAGGTATCTGGCAACACAGGATTGGCTAACTGTCAGGGTGGTGTAACATTCCAAGGTATAACATTCAAAGGCTGGGCTAGCTATGGGGGAGGATCAGGAAGGGGAAGTTGCAGAGATGCTAAGTGGCAGGTTAATCTTTAGCTTCTGGCCAAACCCTCAGGGCACCGCATAACTTCTGCTAGAAGGAACTTAATTCTATTTTCTTAAGATGGAGTTGCTGGTCTCAACTCTGATGGCTCCCACCAGGTGTGCTTTGGGAGGCAGCTCTTTGGTGGTCAGCAGTGGTCCCTCCTCGCTTCTTTGTCAGCCCTGTTGGGTGTGCAGCATGATGAGCCTGTGTGTGCACACTGGCAAACGAATGACCACCACAGCAAGTCTAGCTAACATCTGTCACCTCACGTAGTTACAACTTTTTTTCTTGGAATGAGAACTTTTAAGATTTATTCTCTTAGCAACATGCAAATATACAATGCAGTATTATTAACTATGGTTGCCATGCTATACATCACATCCCAGGACTTATTTGTTTTATAACTGGAAGTGTGTACCTTTTGATCACCTTTATCCATTTTGTCTACTCCCCATCCCTTGCCTTTGGCAACCATCAATTTGTTCTCTTTATCTGTGAGTAGTTCTTTAGATTCTATATATAAGTGAGATAATATAGTGCCTGTTTTTCTCTGTCTCACTTTGTTCACATAGCTTAATGCCTGCCAGGTCTATCCACGTTGTCACAAATTACAGGATTTCATTATTTTTTAAAAAAAAAATTCTTTTTTTCTTTATTGATTAAGGTATTACATATGTGTTCTTATCCTCCCTTTAACCTCCATCCCCCACTCATGCCCTCTGCTGTCTGTGTCCACTGGTTAGGCTTAAATGCATGCATACAAGTCCTTTGATCTCTCTCCCTTACCCCCACCTTCCCCTACCTTCTCTCTGAGGTTTGATGGTCTGATCAATGCTTCTCTGTCTCTCCCTTCTTTTTTTTATGGCTGAGAAATATTCCATTGTATCTAAAACATTTTCTTTTCATCCATGAACTGATAGATACTTCGTTTGCCTATTGTACATAATGCTGCAGCAAACACGGGGTGCAGCTATCTCTTTGAATTAGTGTTTACGTTTTCTTCAGATAAATACCTAGAGTGAAATTCCTGGTTTGTATAGGAATTCTTTCTTTAATTTTTTGAAAAAATTCCATGCTGTTTTTCATAGTGGTTGTACCAATTTACATTCCCACAACAGTGCACATCCTCTCCAACACTTGTTATTTTTTACCTTTTTGATGAGAGCTATTCTCACAGGTGTGAGGTGATATCTCACTGAGGTTTTGATTTTGTTGAGTCATGTTGAGCACTTTTCATGTACCTCTTGGCTATCTGTATGTCTTCTTTGGAAAAATGTCTATTCAGATGCTGTACTTATTTTTAAATCACGTTTGTTCTCTTGCTATTGAGTTGTTTGAGTTCTTTATCTATTTTGAATGTATTAACCAATTGTCAGACATATGATTGAAGTATATCTTCTCCTATCCTATTGGTCGTTTGTTGTGCACAGCTTTTGATGTAGTCCCATTAGTTCATTTTTGTTTTTGTTGCTTTTGCTTTTGGTGTCAAATCCAAAAACAACAACAATCAACAACAACAAACCATCGCTAAGATTGGTGTGAAGGAGCTTCCTGCCTCTCTTTTCTTCTCAGAGTTTTATGATTTCAGATCTAATGTTCAAAGAGTTAATTCATTTTGAGTTGATTTTTGTGTATGGTATAAGACAGTGGTCCAGCTTCATACCTTTGAATGTGGCTGTCCAGCTTCCTCTACTCCATTCGTTGAAAGAACTGTTCTTTCCCCATTGTATGTTCTTGGTTTCTTTGTTGTAAATTAGTTGGCCACATATGTATGGATTTATTTCTGGCTGTCTATTCTTTTTCATTCGTCTCTGTGTCTGTTTTTATGTCAATATCATACTTTTTGATTACTATAGCTTTGCACTGTAGCTTGAAATCAAGAAGTGTAGTGCCTCTAGCTTTGTTCTTTCTCAAAATTGTTTTAGTTATTTAGTTGTTGGTTATTGTTTTTTTTTTGTTTTTTTTTTTTTTTTTGTGTGTGTGTGTGTGTGTGTGTGTATGATTCATACAAATTTTAGGGTTGTTTGTTTTATTTCTATGGAAAATACCATTGCAATTTTGATATGGATTGCACTGATGCTATAGATTGTTCAATCCCATTCTATTCTCTTTCCCAGAATGGTCTCTTGCTGGGTGCTGTGGGCAGTTTTGACTGGGCTGGTGGATCCTTTCTGCATATGTCACAGGATAGAGTCACCTTCATCAACATGACCAGGGCAGATTCAGACATGAACGATGCTTACTTGGGTAAGTGGGGAGGACAGGGTCACGATGTGGTACAACTCAGCCTGATGTGTTTGGAGCTCTCATAGGCCCCTGGGATATGTTTCAAGACAGAAATTTCATAGTTTTATTTTGATTATGTTAACAAACAGAAATGCAGTGCGGGGTCCAGTTACCCCAACCTATCAAGTGTGGGCCTGCGCGAGGGGGCAGGGTCTACAAGAAAGCACACTTCTCTTGGTATCACCTTTAGGCTATGCTGCCGAAGTCATCTCGCGGGGCCGGGTGCAAACCCTGGCCTTGGGGGCTCCTCGATATCAGCACACCGGCCGGGTGGTGATGTTCAGACAGAGCGCTGGTGCCTGGGAGCTCAACGGGGCTGTCGAGGGCAGCCAGGTGAGTGCAGGGCATGTGGGCCATGGGTGTGCACATAGAGGCACCTGGGGACGAAGACACTCCAGGGTGGCATCGCCAGGTGCCATGTGTGGCAGAGGCTTTGAAAGGCACCTCAGAGGGCCTTGGGCTGGAGACTCACAGGATCAGCCCTGCATTTGAGAATGCTCTCCCAACAATACACATATAAGAGCCCTCTGACCATTAGGCTGTCCAACTTGTAGCTGTGATGTGCACTGATCACCAGGGGGCAGATGCTGAACACGGGAGCAGAAACCACAGGCATGGAGACATGGAACAGACTAATGAATCTCAGAGGGAAGCGGGGAGGAGGGAGGACGAGAAGAGATCTTATATACATACTGGAGGCTCAGTACACAGATTGTTCATGGATGGGGTCCCTTGACCTCGCCTGTGCCCTCCCACAATCCGGGACCCCTCGGGGGATGATGGAGAGCCAGTTGCAGCCTAATCCTCGCAGGCTAGACCGAGGGACCCCACTGGTGCAGGAATCCATGCACCGGGCTTCTAGTAAATAATAATACTGACCTGTACAGAGCTCTCTAGCAGTTTTCCTGTATATGGAGCTGGTATTTGGGAGTACATAATCAATATAAACACATTAGTTATTAAAGCATTGAAATAATTCCATATCTGTCAGTAAATACCTATTTCCCTGTTGTGGCCCCTACCTTGCAAAATGGTCCCTCCCCAGTACTCCTTTTTTTATTTTTAATCCTCAGCCATGAATATTTTTCCATTGACTTTTAGAGAAAGTGGAAGAGAGAGGGAAAGACAGAGAGAAATATTGATGTGAGAGAAACACATCGATTGGTTGCCTTCTGCATGCAACCTGACCAAGACTGGGGCCAGGGTGAAGCCTGCAACCGAGGTAGGTGCCCTTGACCAGAATCACACCCAGTATCCTTTGTCTATAGGCCAACACTCTATCCACTGAGCCAAAGTATTAATAGCTAGGGCCCAGAACTCTTTGAACTTCCCCAGCAACTATGAAATCAGGTAGGGCACCTCAGGGGACTCTACAACCTACTCTAGCTAACTCCCTGCTCAGAGCCTGAGCAGTCCTAACAGTTCCCTATCCCATGCAAAAGCAGTGTGGTTGCATCTTATGTGGTGTGTGAGGCAAAAATCTTTAGTCAAAACCATCCTTGCAAATTCCTGAAATAGGACTGTATCCATGATACTGTGCCTGAAGTTCTGTGTGTTTCCCTTTAATTTTCTTTTTTATGAGGTTTTTATTTTTTTATTTTTTAATGAATCTTTATTGTTCATATTATTACAAATGTTCCTCATTTCCTCCCCCCTCCATTGCTCCCTTCCACCAGGTTCCCACCCCACCCTCTGCCCTTTCCCCACCCCCCATTGTCCTCATCCATAGGTGCACAGTTTATGTTCAGTCTCTTCCGACACCCCCCTCTCCCATTTCCCCCCAGAATTGTCAGTTCACTCCCCTTCCATACCTCTGATTCTATTATATTCAACAGTTAATATTGTTCATCAGATTTTTCTTAATTCCCTTGGTTTTTAGATTCACTTGTTGATAGTTACATATTTGTTGTTCATAGTTTTTATCTTTATTTACTTTGCTTCTGAAAGAACCCCCTTCAGCAATTCATATAATTCTCGTTTGGCACTGATGAACTCCTTTAGCTTTTTTTTTTTTTAATTTGTGAAGCTCTTTATCTGGCCTTTGATTCTGAGTGATAGCTTTGCTGGGTAGATTATTTTAGGCTGCAGGTTCTTGCTATTCATCACCTTGTATATCACTTGCCATTCCCGTCTGGCCTTCATGGTTTCTGTTGAGAAATTAGCTGACAATCGTATGGGTGCTCCTTTATAGTTAACTACCTGCTTTTCTCTTGCTGCTTTTTATATTCTCTCTTTGTCTTTTGCTCTTGGAATTTTAATTATGATGTGTCTTGGTGTGGTCTTCTTTAGATTCCTTTTGTTTGGAGTTCTGTGCGCTTCCTGGACTTGTAAGTCTAATTCTTTCACCAGGTCGGGGAAGTTTTCTGTCACTATTTCTTTCAGTATGTTTTCGATATCTTGCTCTCTCTCATCTTCTGTGACCCCCATAATTCTGATGTTGGTTCACTTGAAGTTTTCCCAGAGTTTTCTTACATTATCTTCAACTTTCTGGATTTTCTTGTATTCTTGCTTCTGCGGAGGAGTGTCTTCTGGCTCTTTATGTTCCAAATCTTTGACTTGATTCTTGAGCTCTTCCATTCTGTTTTTAGGACTCTGTATAATATTTTTTATTTCAGACAATGTATTCTTTATTTCTAGTTGATCCCTTTTCATATCCTCATAGGTCTCGTTTATTTTATCGAACTTTTCTAGGAAATTCTTGAAAAACCTTATAAGTGTGGTTTTGAACTCTATATCCAGTCTCTTCTTTTCCTAATTTCTTTTGTTTGTGATCTATTTCCTTATCTCGGCATTTTCACAGCTTCCCTGAGTTGGTAGGGTGGCTTTGTGTGCTATGGTGTCCTATATGGTTCAGTGAGTCAGCCTCCCAGTTACCTGAGGTGGACAGTCTTGGTGGAGCCCTTTGTGGGCTATGTGTGCAGTCTTGTTGTTAAGCCTTGCTTGTTGTTGGTATCACTGGGAAGCGTTGATCTCCAAGCCAATTGGCTATGAGGTTCAGAAGTGTCTCAGCTAGGAAAGTTTCTATATTCCACTTGAATGGGGCGGAGTCTCGGGGTGGCATAGACAAGCTTTGTTGAATCCCGCACAATTGGTTGCAGACGTGCGCACCTCTTTGGTATAGGCACAGACAAGCTTTAGATTCCTGTGTGCCCCTCCCTAGGAGAGGCCTATTGGCAGCGAATGAGGAAGCTAGCCAGTGGAAGGGCTTCTGTGCTCTGCTTGAATGGGGCTGAGTCTCAGGTGGTGCCCACAAGCTTTATTCAGCTCCTCCCTACAAGGGTCTGGTTTCGGAGTCCTGCAATAATGGCTGCTGGCTTCACAGACCTCCGAGAGATCTCTGCCCACTGCCTGACAGTCTGGCCTCTCCCTGTCTGGGGCCATCTATCAGAGCAATAGGGTGGTTCTGTTTTCCTCCTGAACAAGAAAGCCAGCCTTGCATTAGCTGTCCGCTCTCTCTGGGCACAGGAAGTAAGCCGGTAGTGAACTCCGTCCACCCTCTCCGCGCTCCGCAAGCAAGCCGGCAGCCAACTCTGTGGCCGCCTTTTCGCGCACAGTTCTCCGCACCTTCACAGTTCCTGAGGTTCAGCAAGCCTTCTTTCTCCTTCCCAGATGGTAGAGCCTCCTCTCAGCCAGCCGTCCAGCACTTCAGGGAGATGTTTCCCCTGTTTTTCAGTTCTAAATTCAAATTTGTTGTGGTAGGCTGAATTTGGGTATCTACCCTATGCCACCATCTTGGTTTCTCCTCTATTCCTTTAATTTTCACCTGTTGTTCTCTTTGGTCTGCAATTAATGCACCACGTGTGGATGAAACCAGTTTGCTCTGTAAGATTTTGTCATAATTCTTTGTCAATAGCCAAGTTCTTCATAGGCTCTTTAAAGGTTTTACTGACTCAGATTGACCATGGATGGCGCCAGAACCTGACAAAAAGGCTAGGGTAAGAGAGAACGTGTGAGGATTCCAGGAAGTCAAGGGGGAGGGGGGGGAGGTGTGCTGCTACTTCTCTGTTTTGTGTGTGTGGTGCAGAACCATGTGGGGAAGGGCCAGCTGGTAAACTTCCACACCACATGAAAATTTAAACATGCAATTACCACCCAGGGCGCACAATACTTAAACTGTGACAGTCAAATGGGAGCAAATGGAAGGGGCATCCACACAAGGGCATTAGGGAAGGCTTCCTGAAGGCAGTGGTAAGGGGGAAGAATCAGAGAAGTGAAGAGTGAGGAAAGAAGGCGGCCAGAAGGAGAAAGTGTGGGTTTGGAGTGTGTATGGGAAAGAGGAGGAGGTGGTAGGAGACACTGAGGAGAAGGATAGGAACAGATTCATCTCAAGTTTACCCGCTTGCTGCATTTTCACTGCTGCTGCCTGGTCCAGGCCATCATCATCTTCTCTGTAGACCCAGCTGTAGCCTTCTTCCTGATCCCCCAAAGTCCCATGTTGCCTCCCTCTACTCCATCGAGGGAGGGTGAGCTCACTAAGTGAGAAACTGTTATCAGTCTTCAGTTTAAGACCCTTGTTGACTACAGTCCAATATCCAATAAATACTTTAAAAATTTTAACAAAATACAGTTGACTATGTGTGTTTGAACTGCATAGATCTACTTTATCTCCCACAATAAATAGCATATGGGGGGGAATTTTGGAGATTTGCAACAGTTTGAAAAATTCACAAACTGTATAGCCTAGAAATACTGGGGCGGGGGGGGGGGGGGAAACAAGAAAAAGGTGTGTCATGAATGCATACAATATGAAACATATACAAAATATGTATTAATCAACCATTTATTGGTAAGGCTTTTGGTTGACAGCTATTAGTAGTTAAGTTTGTTATGTGGATTTTATTTACATGAGAGGCTATAGGTCGAAACCATTTCATTGTCAGGGGTCAACTATATTAGCAAATTGAATTCAGCAATCTCCAAAAGGGTAATAATACATCATGACCAAGTCTGGTTTATCCCAGGAATGTAGGGCTTGTTCAACAATGATGCAGAAATGAACAAACTGATTCTAAAGTTCAAATGGAAGTGCAAGGGACCCAGAATAGCCAAAATAATCTTGAAAAAAAAGAATGACGATCTCACTTTTATGTGGAATCTAATGAACAAAGTAGATCCAGAGACATGGAAACATGCACCAGACTGAATGTCCTCAGAGGGAAGGGGGTAGGGGAGGGAAGAGGGCAACCAAAAAACCTATAAGCCTGGTGCATGAAATTTGGGCACTTGGTGGGGGTCCCTCAGCCTGGTCTGTGCCCTCTCGCAGTCTGGGACCCCTCACTCTTACCGCCTGCCTGCTTGCTCACTGCTTCTTACTGCTCGGCTCGCGGCTCCTTAGCACTGCTTCTGAGGCTGGAAAGGCTCCCGCCATTGCTGCTGTGTTCGCCAGCTGTGAGCCTGGCTCCTAGCTGAGTGGGCTTCCCCTGTGGGAGCATACTGACCACCTGATGATCAGTGTGCATCATAGCAACTGGTTGTTCTGCCTTTCAGTTGATTTGCATATTATGGTAGGCTTTCATTATATAGGATAGGCAAAACCATGGACATAGACATTAGTGGGTGAAGACTAAGGTAAAGGATGGAGGTGGGATGATGGTCAGTGGAGAAACAGGGGACATTTGTAACACTTTCAACAATAAAGATAATTTTTAAAAAATATATATTTTATTGATTTTTTACAGAGAGAAAGAGAGAGGGATAGAAATCTAGAAACATCGATGAGAGAGAGACATCGATCAGCTGTCTCTTGCATATCCCCTATTGGGGATATGCCCGCAACCAAGGTACATGCCCTTGACCGGAATCGAACCCGGGACCCTTCTGTCCCCAAGCTGACGCTCTATCCATTGAGCTAAACTGGACTTGGCAATAAAGATAATTTAAGAGAGAGAGAGAGAGAGATAGGAAGAAGGAAATTGGAGGACTCATACTTTCCAATTTCAAAACTTAAAAAAAAAACACAAAAAAAACAACTAACCCAAGGAAATTTTTCTCCATTTACTTTTAGAGAGAGTGATTGCAGGGCCAGGGATTGAGCCCAAAACCGAGGCACATTCTCTTGACCAAAATTGAACCCAAGATCCTTCAGTCCATGGGCCTATGTTCCAACCACTGCTCAGGGAAAAGCTTAATTACTGTTGACTGAAATGTATCAGCTAAGTATTCTGTCATCAAAAAGGACTTATTCATTAAAAAGGAAGGGCTGCAACCCAGTGCATGCAGACATGGCAAGTCACGTGCACACTCTGGCCTGTGTGCCCTGACAGGGGTATTTATAGAAAGGAAAGGGAAGTTAAGGGCCAGGGAAATCAGAACCTTAGTGCCTTACTATAAATAGTTCTTCCAGTAGGGTCCTCCCCATTACATAGAGTATGAGAACTGTCATAAGCCCTAGCTCCTCCCATAGATCCTCCAACCAATTATATTTGCTTAAAGTTTCAGTTAGTCTTATGCACTACCAGCTACAATAATCAAGACAGTATGGTACTGGCATAAGGATAGACCTATAGATCAAAGGAATAGAACTGAGAGTACAGAATAAACCCATACATCTATGGTCAATTAACTTCTGATAAAGATACCAAGTTCATTCAATGGAGAAAATAATTTTTTCAACAAATGATGCTGTGATAAATGGATATCTGCATGAAAGAGAATAAATTTGGACCCCCTGCTTCACAATATACAAAAATGAACTCCAAATGGATCAGAGACCTAAATGTAAGAACTAAGACTATATACCTCTTAGAAGGAGCTATAGGTGAATTTTTGTAATCATAGATTTGGCAACGATTTCTTAAATATGACCCAACAAGCATAAGAAACCAAAAAAAAAAAAAAAAAAAATAGACAAATTGTAGTTCATCAAATTAAAAACTCTAGAGCATCAAAACACTATAAAGAAATTTAAAAGAATGGGAGAAACTATTTATAAATAATATCTCTGATAAAGGTCTGGTATTTAGAAAAGAGAGAGTGGGTGAAAACCGGGGTACAGTTGTGAAACTCTGAGTTTACTCTTGTATTTTTATTTATTAATTGTTGCATTAATTTCATACAAATGACTGTAAATCTACTTTTGCCCCACCCTGTATAAAGAACCCTTACAACTCAACAATGAGGGACAAATAATCTAAGTTTCAAACAGGCAAGGATTTGAATAGACATTTCTCCAAAGAAGGCATACAAATGGCCAACAGGTACATGAGAAGATGTTCAACATAAACAGTCGTTAGGAAAATGCAAATTAAAAACACAACCAGTTACCAGGAGGTGCATGGAGCACCTCTCGTGGTCCAGGAGTCGCGTATAGCATGGTGAAGCAGGGCTCACAGGGGCCAGTGGGGCTGGCATGGCGGAGGCGGGGCCTGTGGCTCCTGCAGGGTGGGTCCGGGGCCTTTGTCTCATGCAGGACAGGTCTGGGGTCCTGCCGGTGCAGCAGGTCTGGGTCTTGTGTGATTTCACACACTGGGCCTCTAGTAATACTATAAACAAAGTTTATAAAGGAAACATTGATAAAAAAAATACTTCATTAAAATGAGTTTTTGCTATGTGAAAGACACTGTTAAGAGAATGAACAATAAGTTACAGACTTGGAAAAAACATTTTCCACCCTTTTTTATTACATAGCTGACAAAGGAAATATCTAGGATATTTAAAGGATTCTCTAAATTCAACAATAAGAAGCAATCCAATAAAAAAAATAAGCAGCCGAAGCCAGTTTGGCTCAGTGGTAGAGCATCGGTCTGTGGACTGAAAGGTCCCAGGTTCGATTCCGGTCAAGGGCATGTACCTTGGTTGTGGACACAACCCCGGTAGGGGGTGTGCAAGAGGCAGCTGGTTGATGTTTCTCTCTCATCGAGCTTTCCAGCTCTCTATCTCTCTCCCTCTCTCTCTGTTAAAAATCAATAAAATATATTTTTAAAAATAAGTAAAATATTAGAAGAGACTCCTCACCAAAAAAGATATATGGCTGGGAAATAAGCACAGGAACACATACATGTTTCATGCTATTAATCATTATGGAAGGCAATTAAAACTGCGGTGAGAGACTACTGTACATGTATTAGCATTGTAGGCGTAAAATGAAAATAAACAGGCAATATCAAATACTGGCAAGGGCATGTAGCAACCAACACACTCGTACAATGCTGTCAGAATGGAAAATGGCATGCCTATTTTGGAACACAGTTTGTCAATATCTTACAGAGTTGAGCATATAGTTTCCATGCCAGCAATCCCTTTCTTAGGTATTTGCTATTTACCTAGGAGAAATAAGAACAGATATTCACACCAAAACCTGTGTGTGAATGTTTCTAGTGGCTCTATTCATTCTTGTCCAAAACTAGAACCAACCCAAGTGTCACTCAGCTGGAATGGCTAAACAGACTGTGGTACATATGATGGCATACTAACCAGAAATAAAAAGCAAGGATTACTGATACATGCAACACCACGGGTCAATGTTAATGCATGATTCTAGTGAAAGAAGCCACGCCCAAAGGCTAAATACGATATTGTATGGAGTCCAAAAGGCTACATACCATGTAATTTCCTTTCTATAACATTTGGAGAACGCAAAATTGTAGGGACAGAAAGAGATCAGTGGTTTCGAGGGGCTAGTGATTGAGGGAAGCGGTTGATTGCCGGGGTGTGAGGGACTATTTGGCGGTGATGAAACTAATCTATATCTTGACCATGGTGGTGGTTAGGTGACTGTGTGTTTTGTCAAAACCCATAAAACTACACTAGGAAGGCTGAATTTTATTGTAAGTAAATTACACCCCGACACACCTGACCTAAAACAAACAAACAACCCTGCTGATGAAGCTGAATGGCCGCCAGCATGACCGTCTCCATGCCTACGGGCAGACGTCAGTCTGAGGTGCCCTGCAGTGTTTCTTCCCAGCACCCGCCTCAGTTCGGAATGGCTGTAGACATGTCCCTGTGAACCTGTCACGGTTCCCTCTGCTCCACCACGCTGCCCGGGAGCCCCGTAGGCTCTGTGTCTCCAAACCCTTGTTTATCAAATGAATGAATGAGTGAATGAATGAATAAGCAGGTGAATGACTAAATGAATAAATCCCGTGGGTGAATTCTACACATTGACATTGAAGATACTTTTGTCAGTTTTTTTTTAATTCTTTTAAAAGGTAGACATTATTTCTCAATATCACACAAAAACATTCCTGTAGTAATAGTTATTTTTTAAAAATACATTTTATTGATTTTTTACAGAGAGGAAGGGAGAGAGATAGAGAGCTAGAAACGTTGATGAGAGAGAAACATCGACCAGCTGCCTGCACACCCCCTACCGGGGATGTGCCTGCAACCAAGGTACATGCCCTTGACCGGAATCGAACCCGGGACCTTTCAGTCCGCAGACCGACGCTCTACCACTGAGCTAAACCGGTTTCGGCAGTAATAGTTATTTTTAATCCACGTTAGTTGATTCCTTATTAGCCAGACTACCAACTTTGACACCCCCTTCCTCGCTCCTGACTAAAAAACTTCCAATATATTGAGAAGATCTGTCTGCTCTTCCAGGCTTTTCTGTCTGTATTTTCCAGTCCAACTGCTTTTTCTGTGATCTTAATTATCTTCTTATAACACTATTTGGGGTAAAATGCTCACTACTACCCATCACTCTGCTCCTCTCTCTGTCAGCACATTCAAATGAGAATTTGTCATCCACTATACACTGAGTGGCCAGATGATTATGATCTCTGAATACATAATAATCTGGCCACTCAATGTATATATATTAGAGGCCTGGTGCATGAATTCGTGCATGGGTGGGGTCCGGCCAGTCCAGCCAGGGGGAGGGGACATGGGCAGTTGGAACTCCTGGTCAACTGGTCAAGGGGACAATTTGCATATTAGCCTTTTATTATATAGGATGTGCACTGAGTGGCCAGATTATTATGCGTTGAGAGATCATCGTCATCTGGCCACTCGGTGTAGAGAGAAGAGAGGTGCACACCCACTACTAAGCCATTCTCCAGCCCAGCAAGCATGGCTTCTCTTCACAGGGAGAACCCCCACTCTGCTTTAGGTGTGACCCTGCCCTCATCTCTTTCAGCTTAACAATAACCCACAACCTTCGGACCAACTTGGCCTCATCTCTTTCAGATTGGCTCCTACTTCGGGGCCTCCCTCTGCTCCGTGGACGTGGACAGAGATGGCAGCTCCGACCTGGTCCTCGTCGGGGCTCCCCACTACTACGAGCCGACCCGGGGGGGCCGGGTGTCAGTGTGCCCCTTGCCCCGGGGGGTGAGTGGCTGAGGGGACCTGCTGGGTGGGGCTGGGTGTGGGGGGGAGGGGTTGCCGGGTTGGGACTGGCGCTGCTTCTGTTCTGCAGAGGGCCAGGTGGCAGTGCCAGGCGGTGCTCCGCGGGGAGCAGGGCCACCCCTGGGGCCGCTTTGGGGCGGCCCTGACCGCGCTGGGGGACGTGAATGGGGACAAGCTGGCGGACGTGGCCATCGGGGCCCCGGGGGAGCAGGAGAACCGGGGAGCCGTGTACCTGTTCCACGGAACGCCGGGGCTGGGCATCAGCCCCACCCACAGCCAGGTGAGGCCCCTCACTGTCCCCATCGTGGCAGCAGACCCTGCAGATCTGTCCCCTTCTCCTTCAGAGTTCCCACAACTGCCAGGTTAGTTCTCCCCTTACTCCTCCTGGAGCTTTAAAAGCAGTGACGCGCTGCACGAAGCCTGACTCCTCAGTCCTAGCTTAGTTCTCACAGCCCGGGGGGCCCGGGCCCAGAGCCCGCCCTGTGCGGGGAGGAGAGGCTGCAACATAGACGGCAGGCTGGACGGCGGACGTCTCCCCCTCGGCAGGCCGCGGGCAGTCCCGGGTTTAGGCGGAGAGCCGCCCGCTCCGGAGGCTTCCCACCGGCCGCCTCCCAGAACCGAGCGATTCGGGGCTGTCGCTTGTGGGTCACGCAGGGCCCCTCTCTCAGGAAATTCAGAAAAAATTCAGATTTACAGGCAACGTTGAAAGACTTGTACAGCGAACACTCATATTCTTCAATGGACATTTTACTAGACTTGCTTGACCGCATAGCCATTCTCTCTCCAGTTCCTCTCGTTTTTCAATGCATTTCAAAGTAAGTTGCAGCATCTGTCCACTCCACCTGTAAACATTTCAGCGTGCATATCATTAACTAGAGTTCAACATTTGCTCACTGTTATTCTTTTTTTAAAATATATTTTATGGATTTTTTTTTTTTTTACAGAGAGGAAAGGAGAGGGATAGAGAGTTAGAAACATCATTAGGAAAATGCAAATTAAAAACACAATCAGATTTCACTAGAATCACTATTCATTATCATGAATCAGCTGCCTCCTGCACACCTCCTACTGGGGATGTGCCCGCAACCAAGGTACCTGCCCTTGACCTAAATCGAACCTGGGACCCTTCAGTCCACAGGCTGATGCTCTATCCACTGAGCAAACTACTTAGGGTCTTACTGTTATTCTTAAGATCAAATTTACGAACAGGAAATGTTGCTTCTTCAGCCAGTCAGTGACTACTGACGAGTGCACGCACCTGCTGGAACCCGCCCTCCTAAGATGCAGAGCATCACCATCCCCAGAGAGCTCCCACCCACTCTGTTGCCAGGGAAACCACAGTTCTGACCACTGTGGACCACAGATCACTTACATAGGCCCCAGTGTGTGCTCAGGCTCTTTGCTGCCCGAGGCTCAGCCCCTCAGCCTGAGGGTGAGGGACCCTCTCTCCGCGGGTGAGGGCAGCAGGGTGATGCCTCTTTTCATTGACGCCTGTTGCTTCTCTGTGTAAATGGAGTCTGCAGGCTCTGGTTTGACTTTATGACAAAAGCTTTACTTGCTTGTGCAAATCTCTAAATCCGAGTAAGCAGTGAAACCCTGCTTCCCTCTCTTCCCTGCACCTAACTCAGCCCTCAGAGATAACCAAGGGAAGGAGGCACTTTACGAGGCTGCACACGACCCCCTGCCCACAGGCTTTGGGTGAAAAACGAACGCAGAAAGGACTTCACCAGCCTGGTGTGTGTTGTATGCATTTCTACCTGCTTTTCCCTATGGCCAAGCAGGGTCGCTCGGTGTTCGGACCAGCCAATAGGCTGTGGATTCCCCAGTCGCCATAGGACATGCAATTTCTAAACAAAACTTCATCCGGGCACAATACATTTTCCTCAACTTTTTTTTTTTTTTTTTTTTTTTTGAGGTTTAATGAACACCCAACAAACTCCCAAACTGTAAGGCGTGAGTTTTTATATGTCTGTGAACCCAGTAAGCAGCACCGACATTAAGATACACACATTTCCGACAGCCCATGCTTCCTGTCAGCTGACAAAATCACTTAAAAATTGTGGTAAAATATAGATGACACAAAGCTCACCATTTTAACCGTTTTAAAGTGTGTAGATAGAATTTCCTTTTTATTTGGCTGTTACTCTTCCAGTGTTATTCTTGCAGATGGACCAGAGAGTCAAATCGCTCTTTAAAAAAAAAAAAAAAAAAAAATATATATATATATATATATATATATATACACACACACACACACACACATATATATACATATACATATATATATATATATATATATATATATGTGTGTGTGTGTGTGTGTGTGTGTGTGTGTGTGTTTATTGATTTCAGAGAGGAAGGGAGTGGGAGAGAAATAGAAACATCAATGATGAGAGAGAATCGCTGATGGGCTGCCTCCCGCACACCCGGGCTGGTGCCCTCACAGGGAATCGAACTGTGACCTCCTGGTTCATAGGTTGACGCTCAACCAACTGTGACCACTGAGCCAGCCGGCCGGGCTCAAAATCGATTTTAGAGACTGATTATGGAAATAGCAATGTCCACACCTCCACTCGCTTCCTCTCTATTCCCTGGGTCTCTTCTGATTCTCCATTCTTCCCAGCACCGTGGTTTTGCTGCTTCCGGATTGTCGTTTTTAGCATGGACTTCCCGCCATGGGAGGTGAGGTCTGAGGCTTTCAGACCCCCTTGGCCACGCCTTCTCCCCTCCCCCACTCCCGATAATTACACTGTGATTTGGTTAGTATTCAGGCTTGGCACTATAGGACTATGTAAATGAGATTCAGCTGTGCCACTCCTTTCCTGTAAACTGTTTCCTAAAACCTCCAGCTGACTGATGGAAGCTTCGGGTGCCATCTCAAGACTGTGGTCCAAAGCTGAATGGCTGCCTGATTCCTTGAGAAATTATGGGAGATGAGACTTGGATGGTGACTTGGGTGGTCTGGGGCATCTGACTTACACACTCCCCGTTCTTCCCGCTCCCTCTCTCCCCTCCTCCTCTCTGTCCCCAGCGGATCGCAGGCTCCCAGCTCTCCCCCACGCTCCAGTACTTCGGTCAGTCCCTGAGCGGGGGCCGGGACCTCACGATGGATGGCCTGATGGACCTGGCTGTGGGGGCGCAGGGGCAGGCGCTGCTGCTCAGGTGAGACCCTCTCTCAGAGCACACCGGGACGCCTCCCCTTTGAGGAGCAGCCTAAGGACAGACACCCCTGGTGTCTCTGCAGGTCCCAGCCGGTGCTGAGAGTTCAGGCGACCATGATCTTCACGCCCAGGGAGTTGGCGAGGAGTGTGTTTGAGTGTCGGGAAAACGTGGTGAGAGGCCTGACTGCGGGGGAGGTCAGCGTCTGCCTCCGCGTACAGAAGGGCACGGGGGACCGGCTGCCACCAGGTGAGGCTGCAGGGGGAGGGGGGGGCAGTTTTCCGGTGTGTGACAGAACAGCTGCCGTGTACTGAGCACTCACTGTGTGGCAAGCACTGTGCTAGGTGCTTTGCAGACACCATTTCACTTCATTTGCACCGCTGTGAGGGTGCAGTTATTGTCCTCAACCTAAAAATAGGGACTTGAGACCCAAAGAGGTCAGAGAAGCTGCCCAGAGTCTCGGGCTGGGGAGCGGGGGCTGGGCCGTGCCGGCCTGTGTGCCTCCAGGCGGCTGCTCACCGCGCCTGCCCCCAGGAGAGATCCGGGGCTCCGTCCTCTACGACCTGGCGCTGGACTCCACGCGCCCGCGGCCCCGCGCCGTCTTCGAGGAGACGAGGAACAGCACGCGCCGGCGGACGCGGGTCTTGGGGCTGAGCCAGACGTGCGAGACCCTGAGGCTGCAGTTACCGGTGAGCCGAGCGGCCCCGGCCCAGCCCCGGGGGAAGGGGGGGGGGGAGCTGAAAGGCAGACCCCAACCACCGCTCTCTCAGGAGTGTGTGGAGGACTCCGTGAGCCCCGTTGTCCTGCGCCTCAACTTCTCCCTGGAGGGGCAGCCCCTGTCCTCCTACGGGAACCTGCGGCCCGTGCTGGCCGTGGACGCTCAGACCCTCTTCACGGCCTCGGTGAGTCCCGGGGCGGGTCCTGCCGGGCTGGGGGGGACAGAGGCCATTTTATTTCCTTTCCACATTTTGTTTTGTTGCTCCATGTCACCATGGAATCGTTTCGTCATTGCCTCCCATCCCGTTTCATCAGGCCCCGTTTCTTTGCAGCTTCCCTTTGAGAAGAACTGTGGCAACGACAGCGTGTGCCAGGACGCCCTCAGCATCAGCCTCAGTTTCACCAAGTGCGTTTCCCTCCTCGCTGGTGCCGCCTCCCCACCTGGGAGCCGGGAGCGGCTGCTCTGGGGTGTCTGAGGGCTGCCCACCCGCTGGCTCCTCTCCCCGTGCCCCCCCCCCCCCCGGAGCCCACCTCCCACCGGGAGGCCTCAGGGTCTCCTGCCGCCTTGTCCCCCAGCCTGCACACCCTGGTGGTGGGCGGTGCCCGGAACTTCAACCTGACGGTGACGGTGAGGAACCAGGGCGAGGACTCCTACGGCACGCGGGTCGCCTTCTTCTACCCGCCCGGCTTGTCCTACCGGAGGGTGTCCGGGGTCCAGGTAGCCAATGCTTCCCGCTCCACTGGCCTTGCTTTCTGGTCATGAGGCTCATGGCTGACGTCCCCCCCCCCCCCGTCTGCCCCCCTTGCCTTCCAGTCCCGGCACTCCTGGCGGTCCTGGCGTATCAACTGCGAGTCCGACCCCTTCACCCAAGCCAGGGCCCTGCACAGCGGCAGCTGCACCATAAACCAGCCCATCTTCCCCGGCAACTCAGAGGTCAGGCTGGGCCCCTCACCTTTTCTCCCCTGTCTTCTTCTGAATCCCCTCCCTCTCCTCCACTCCTCCTCCTCCTCCTCTTTCTCCTCCTGCCTTGCTTCCTCCTCCTTCCCTCCCCCCATCTCCTCCTCCTCTTCCTCTTTCTCCATCTCCCCTCTTCCCCATCTTCTCCTTCTACTCCTTCTCCTCCTCCTCTTCCTTCCCCTCCCCCTCCACCTTCTCCTTCTCCTTCCTGTCCCCCTCTTCTGTCCTCCTCCTCCTCTTCCTCCTCCTCCTCCTCTTATTCCAATAGCTTCCTTTTCTGAGAACCAGCTTCGCTGACATAACGCACCACCATTGACAGCATTCCCACTCGATGGCTCCTGGTGGTTCACAGACTGTGCGTCCATCACCACCATCCATTTTAGGGTATTTCCTACCCCAAGAAGTGACTCTGCTCCCCTTGGCTATCACCCCCCCACCTTCTCCCAGCCCCAGGCACCGCCAGCCCCGTCCCCCTCCAGCCTCTCCCATTCGGACGTGTGGCACTGTGCACCCTGTACACGCGGTCGCCTGCGGCCGGCTCCTTTCACAGCAGCAGGTTCCCAGGATCCCCGCTGCAGACCTTCATCCTCTCACTGCCGAGTGCTGCTCTCAGACGGGCCACCACACCTGCCGCACTCGTGCTTCCGCTGAGGAGCGTCTGCTGTTTCTCCTCCTATTCCCGTTCTCTCCTTTCTCCGACGCCAGGTCACCTTTAACATCACGTTGGACGTGGACTCTGATGCCTCCCTGGGAGACAGACTGCTGCTCACGGCCAACGTGACCAGGTGCAGGCATCCTCCACGTTGGGTCACGCCCTCTGCCCAGCACGAACTGGTGCCCCCACCCCAGCTGGTTCTTGCTTCAGCTCATTCATTCAGCAAACACTGAATGAACCCCCGTGCCAGGCACGGGGCCCCGGGCTGGTGGACAGGGAGGACGAGGCCTGGCTGCTCTCACCAGGGTTAGCACTCAGCGGCAAGGCAGGCAGGAGCGGGCGGTTACCGTAACTGACACGGTGCCCGTGTCCTCGGGAGCTCGGTGCTCAGAGAGGAGTCCCGGAGCAGAGGTGCTGAGGCTGTGAGGGACCAAGCAAAGGCATAGATGGAGGGGCCGTGGAGACAGAATGAAGGAGGAGCGTGCGGAGGAGGGGCCGGAGCTGGAAAGATGGGACCATGTAAGAGCGTGGCCCAGGCACAGGACGCAGGGCTTGAGGAGGGGCTGAGATGTTGGCATAAACCGGATAGTCATGAACCGGCTGATGGGTGCTGTCAGGACGTTCGCAGCGTGACCTGGGCGTGACAGGATCACATTGGCAGGTGGAAAGGCCACCCCCGGGAGGGCGGGGGCTTGGGCCAGAGGGGGTGGTGGTGGTGGTGGTGGTGGTGGTGGTGGTGGTGGGAGCAGTTTCGATTTCAGGGGCCAGAGAGAAGAGGCAGCACAGACATCCAGGAAGTGGGGGTGGAGAGCAGTGGTGGCTGGGATGCAGAAAGAACTAACTGGGTGGTTGGTTTGAGGCGGAGGGAGGGGAGAGGGAGAGGGAGAGGGAAATGGGGAAGGAAATGGGGAAGGAGAAGGAAAGCTCTCTGTCTCTCTTCAGTGAGAACAACTCACCGAGAACCAACCAGTTGGAGGCCCAGCTGGCGCTGCCTGTGAAGTACGCCGTGTACATGGTGGTGGCCAGGTACCCGCCCAGAGCCCCTCCCGCTGCACACGGGCTGGACGGGCCACTGAGCACCCGTGTGTGTCAGTCTGCACACGAGTGCCTGTGTGCTCTGAGGATAAACGAGCATGTGTGCTCCAGCATGTGCGTGTGCATGCTGTGTGTGTGTGTGTGTGTGTGTGTGTGTGTGCAAGAGAACCTGTGTGTGCATGAGCATGTGTTTGCATGGTGTGTGTGCATGGTGTGTGTGTGTGCATGTGCGTGTCTGTTCACATGTGTGTGAGGCCCAGCCACCCACATCACCCCCTGCACTGCATCCTGCTCACACCCTCTCAGGCCTGCATTACCCATGTGCCTATTTACCCCTTACACATGTAGCCTGAGACTCCCCTTCCAGAACATTTCTGATGTTCTCACTTGCTCCTTCTTCTTTCCAACATCAGCCGTGAGAGCTCCATCAAATTCCTCAGCTTCCCAGCTTCCACGAAGACCAGCCAGGTCATAAGCCATCAGTATCAGGTGGGACCCCAAGGCCGGGCCGGGGTGCAGAATAGTGAGGGGAAGGGGGCGTCCGGGCTGCTGTGTGCCAGGCTCTGTCCACGCTCGCTCTCACTCCACACATACACACACACACACAGGCGTGCACACACGTATGGGCACACAGTCACCCCTCGGTGTCCGCGGGACTTTACCAAATCGCTGATGCTCACGCCGGGGATAAATGGTGCCCTTTGCACATGACCACGCCCACCGGATCGCCGAGAACCGGTGCGGTGTGGGAGCGGTGCGGACGGCTGCTCTTGCTGCCCGGGGATAACGACAGGAAAAAGAAGTCGGCACAGCCAGGCCCCCAGTAGCCTCGCTACATGGCACACGTCAGCAGCAACCGACCCTTTCCTCTGAGCGTTTTCCACGCCCACCCGTGGGTGCAGAGGGCGCTGGACACACACACACAGTCCCCTCCTGTTACCTTCACAGTGACTGGGGGGGGGGGCAGGGGAGCACCCCGGCCCCCCCTCTGGCCGCTGCCTGCCCCCCAGAGGGCGAGGGCTGGAGGTGCCTGGTCCCTGCAGGCCTGGTCCTCTGGTCCCGGGCAGGAGGGGTGAGAGCAGCCAGGCCGAGGTGCTGGGCAGGTGGGGTGAGAGCAGCCAGGCCGGGTGCTGGGCAGGAGGGGTAAGAGCAGCCAGGCCGGGGTGCTGGGCAGGAGGGGTAAGAGCAGCCAGGCCGGGTGCTGGGCAGGAGGGGTGAGAGCAGCCAGGCCGGGTGCTGGGCAGGTGGGGTGAGAGCAGCCAGGCCGGGTGCTGGGCAGGTGGGGTGAGAGCAGCCAGGCCGGGGTCCCGGGCAGGAGGGGTGAGAGCAGCCAGGCCGGGGTCCTCACACCCGCCCGCCGCCTGCAGTTCAACAACCTGGGCCAGAGGGGCCCCCGCGTCAGCGTGGTGCTCTGGATCCCCATCCGGCTGGACCAGGAGCCCGTGTGGGGCGACCCCGCCGCCATCTTCTCCCCGGTAAGCCCGCGGGCCGCCCTCCACAGCCTGTCTCCCCTCAGCTCTGTCTCCTCTGCGGGGGTGGAGCCCTTTCTGACCTTCTCCTGGGCCTGGGACACCGCCCCCTCCTTGGGGAGCACCCGGGAGCGCTCACAGGGCCCCTCTTCCCCCAGGACCTGAACAGGACCTGCCGCCAGGAGGAGCGGGAGCCCCCAAGCTCCAGCTTCCGCGCTGAGCTGAGCAAGGCCCCGGTGCTGGTAAGAAGGGTACGGGCTCTGGGCTCAGCACCGCCCCCTGCCCGGCTCCCAGCCCCCCCCGCCCCCCAGGACCGCTCCCCCAGCTCCTCAGCCCAACAGAACTGCTCCCCCAGCCCCTCCGCCCCCTGAACTGCTCCCCCAACCCTCCGCCCCCCAGAACCGCTCCCCCAGCCCCTCTGCCCCCCAGAACCGCTCCCCCAGCCCCTCTGCCCCCCAGAACCGCTCCCCCAGCCCCTCCGCCCCCAGAACTGCCCCCCAGCCCCTCCGCCTCCAGAAGTGCCCCCCAGCACCTCCGCCCCCAGAACTGCTCCCCAGCCCCTCCGCCCCCCAGAACTGCCCCCCCAGCCCCTCCGCCCCCCAGAACTGCCCCCCCAACCACTGCGCCCCCAGAACTGCTCCCCAGCCCCTCCGCCCCCTAGAACAGCTCCCCCAACCCTCCGCCCCCCAGAACTGCTCAGTCGCCTGGTGCCTGCGCATCCGGTGCGCCCTGGCCGAGCCCTTCGGCGGCCAGGAGGGGTTCAGCGTCAACCTCACGGGCAGCCTGTCCTTCGGCTGGTACATCGAGGTAAGAGGGCCGAGCCAGTGGGGCTGCACACGGGGCCGCCCAGGCACCGAGGCCCGGACCCAGCGGGTCTGCCTGCCGCCCAGGCCCGGGCCCAGTGCCGCCTCTCCCCCCAGACGCCGCACAAGCACCTGCAGGTGGTGAGCACCGCGGAGATTCTGCTGGACGACCCGGGGTTTGTCCAGCTGCCTGGACAGGAGGCCCTCGTGAGGGCCCAGGTACCTGCCTGGGGCACAGGAGGCTCCTGGGAGGGGAAAGGCTGGCTTTGGGGCTGTCTGGTAAAGAGAGGGAGGTGGGGGGGAAGGAGGGCTGGGTTGGGGGCGCGGGGAGGGCTTAGTTATTGGGTCCAGGGTGCGGGGTCTGCAGAAACCCCAGAAACCAGAGCCTGTGTCCCTGTCCTCCCCTCCCTGCCCCAGACAGAGACCAAGGTGGAGCCGTTTGTGGTGCACGACCCGGTGCCGCTCATCGTGGGCAGCTCCGTGGGGGGGCTGGTGCTCCTCGCCCTCATCACCGCAGCGATGTACAAGGTACCCCCAGCGCCCTCTGCCCGCCCTCCCGCCCCCTCGCTGCTTCCTCTGGGTTTGCCTGCCAGGGCAGCCGCTGGGTGACCTTTGGCCAGTCCCAGGGCCTCAGCCTCTTCAGCTGTGAAACGGGAGCACAAATACCCCTTTGGCGAAGGGAACTGCGTTAATTTGTGCGGAGCACCCAGAGTGCCCAGGACAGAATGACCAACACATCAGGAGCAGTTCTCCTCCTTCTATCTCATTTTCTCTCTTTCCTGCCCTCAGTATTTTTTAAAACATATATTTTTATTGATTTCAATGAGGAAGGGAGAGGGAGAAAGAGATTGAGACATCAGTGATGAGAGAATCACTGATCTGCAGCCTTCTGTACATCCCCTACTGGGATGGAGCCCACAACCCAGGCATGTGCCCTTGACAGGAATGGAACCTGGGACCCTTCAGTCCGCAGGCTGATGCTCTAGCCACGGAGCCAAACCAGCTAAGGCCCCAATATTGATGCCACCTTGCTCCCTGCCCCACTTTCCCCAGGTCCCTTCCATACTCTGACACCTTATTCGTTGCACTCCTGGTCCCTGGGTCCCCACTCGGGCCTGCATGGCCCTGGCCGTGGTGTCTCATGGATCCAGCTCAGCCGTGTTCCTGCCCACAGCTCGGCTTCTTCAAGCGGCAGTACAAGGACCTGATGAGCGAAGCCGCTCCTGAGGCCGCCCCGCCCCAGTAGCCGCCCCTCCCGCTGTGTGGCGTCTCCTGTGGGTAGACCAGCGCACAGGCTCTAGACAGACACGTCCGTCCGTCCGTCCACCCGGAGACTGTGGTGATGTCTCACTCAGAAAAGACCTGCTTAGGCTTCCATTTCCTTTCGTGTGTGTGAGTGTGTGGGTTGTGTGTCTCAGATGTCTCTGCACGGGCGCCAGAAGCTTGGCAAACCCTCTCAGGAGGAATGCTTGGGCTGAAGGCGCCGTTCAGCCTTCCTCCAGGACAGCGGTGAAGGCAGTCCCTGCTGAAGGAAGGGAGGCCTCCCTTCGGGGCGAGGACACCTGCAGAAGCTGGACAGCCACCACCCAGGCTGCACGGGGAGCCACGTTAAGGCCCAGACCTGGCCAGCCGACAGGAGCCTGCCCAACCCCCTCCACACAGAGCTAAGAACGTCCAATAGGCAATGACACCTCCCTTTACCATTTACTGACTGTCCTAATGTCACTTAGTTTTTGAAATGGTAAACCTGTTCATAGTGTAAGTCAACAGTCTCCCTTCCAGCCTGATTGCCCCCAATTTAAGTCACTTCTGAAGGCCAGTCAAGGCCACGTGTTTTCGGGTCTCCTTCCTGAGGACTCTAGGCATATGCGCGCGCGGACACACACACACACACACACACACACACGATTTTCACACAAATGATAGCACAAGCTATTTATCCTCTTCTGCATCAGGTCTTTTCATTAATATAGCTCAGCCATTGTTTCATATAAGACATAAAGTACTTTTTCATTCTTTTATACAGCTCAACAGTAGTTCATTGTCTCATGATGAACTACTTAACCAGTCTCCTTTTAAAATTTTTTTAAAATTAATTTTGGTATCACATAATTGTCCTCATCCCCCCATTCCCATCCCAAACCCCTCCCCACATATCCCCCCACCCCCTGTTGTCCATGGCCACTGGCTAGGCCCATATGCATGCACACAAGTCCTTTGGTTGATCTCTCCTGCTTACCCCCACCATCCCCTACTTTCCCTCTGAGGTAACCAGTCTCCTTTTGATATACTATTTCCAATCTCTTGTGATTAAAATGATGATGAACCAATAAATTGAATATATGTCACTTTTGCATATGTGTAAAGACAATTTAAAGGATATATTCCCAGAGGTTTGCATTCTCCCAAAAGCAAACCCAAGGTAAGAATTTAAGTGAAGGAATTTCATGTCAGAGTGGTATCAGGAAATACCAATAGAGGACAGAAGGCCTGTAGCTGAGGACTTGCTAAAGGAGCCGCATTGAGATTGGTACGAAGGGCAGAGACACAGAAAGCACTGGCCCTGCTTCCATGAGTGGCAGCCGAGATCCTAGCTCAGCTGCAGAGGTCCCCTGAGGGGCACAGGTCTCACCCCCAGCCAGGCTCCCCAGGCCAGAACAGCAGAGCCAGGCACCCTCTCAGACACAGGGGTTCATTCATAACATCGGGCTGTGAACATCAGCAGAGATTCTGTCTGCCTGGAGAGATGGGAGTCTGCTAGAGACACAGGTGCCCTCTTAAAGGGCCAATGCACAAAATCTCATTTGCAGCTCCGCTCCCCCCACTCCCTCCCCACCCCACCCTTCCGTGGGCTCTAGCAGTGGGAGGGTACGGAAGACTGGAATCATGTGAGGAGAGACTGGAGTTTGTGGCTCTGGGAGAGAGCTGAAGGGACGGCTGTTGGGAACCCTGTGCTGAGTCCCTCTACTGCACCTCAGATACAGTAGATCTTTCTTGGGTGGAGCACTCCCCTCCATAGGGCATCAGCCTGGGGGAAAGCAACAGGCCCACCCTCTGGACTCCCTCTCACCTCACCCTGCACACCTTGCACCCTACTGAGTAATCAGCTACCTTGGCTGAGGTATAGCTGTCTGGGTAGATTTGGGGGGTGTCAGTGCCCGAATAGTGTGGCTTTGGGTCAGTGGCCATTCTCCTCCCACTTTCCCACGAGCCTGACTAGTGCCTCCCCTTCATGGGAGACCCTTTAGCTCCACCCTCAAGGCTCCAGGTGGCCCCACCCTCTCAACATCTGGTGGCCCCACTCTGCCACCCTCTGGGCAGAGTCTCGGACAAACTGAGTTGTGTGGCTCTAGGATTGAGCTCTAGGACAGGGGCTATTTCCTCTCCTCCCCACCCCCCCAACCTCCCCAAGCCCACCCAGTGTAGAACCTGATCACTGAGAGCTTACCTCATACAACGTCACATGGCCACATCCTGGTCTGTTTGGGCCTGATAAACTCTGCTGGCCTCACTCTGACAACTTCCTGAGTCCCCACCACACAGCCCAGGTCTGCAGATGCCTGGCAGGGGTAGCTAGACTAGGTGTACCCTGGGATTTTCGCTAAGTGACCTCGGACCCAGCACGGGTACAGAGTTTGTACCTGTATCAATCTGATGAAGACCACTCATCCCTTACTCGGGACTCACTGAGAACCTACCCCATGCAATTGGAATATTGCCAGAGGCTCTTTCAGTGACTGAGCCTAAGAGGCAACCAGCAGGCAGAGGCGGATCTCAGGGAGACTTGGGACTTTTGCTGAGCTGCCCCGGGCCTGTGCCAATAAAAGCCGGCTTTGGTGTATAGCTTGGTCCCTCCCTTGCACAGTTAGCCTCTGCTGAGGCAGCCGGCAAACTGTGGATTACTTTGTAGCTCCAAACAGGTTGCCCAGGGTCAGTCACAGGCAGCACCTGACATGGGCCTACACCAGAGTCCCTTCCAAAGGCCCCAGAAACAACACACCCAAGTGGCCAGCTGCAGAAAATATCACGGCAGGATCCAGTTAGCTGCACAAGCAGCTCATCCAAAGGGAGATATTGGCTGGGATCAGACCTTGCTGAGGCGGATTCCTCTTCATGTGGTCAGCACCTACATAGCAGCTCACATATAAGCCAGTCTGAGGGTCAATAGCAATCAAGACTCACCACAATACCCACACAAGCGACATTCCTGGAGAACCCAGATCAGGTAATCAAGGAGACAGTGCTACTACGTCTCATAGGACATCTACTACATAAGGACACTCTCCCAAGACTGGGAGTCACATCCGACATAGCTAATAGATAGAAATAAACACAAAGAGGCAGACCAAATGTGGAGATAAAGAAACATGTCCGGAATGAAAGAACATGAGAAATCTCCAGAAAAAGAGCTAAATGAAATAGAGACGAGCAATTTACCAGATATAGAGTTAAAGATGTTTATAAGGATTCTCAAGGAACTCAGTGAGAACTTTAGCAAAGAGATAGCAAGCCCAGTCAGTGTGGCTAAGTGGTTGAAAATTGAAACTAGTAGGTCACAGTTTGACTCCTGGTCAGGATACATGCCCGGGTGGTAGGCTCAATTCCCCAGTAGGGGCATTCAGGAGGCCAACCATCAATGATTCCTCTTCATCATTGATGGTCCTATCTTTCTCTTCTCCTTTCCTCTCTGAGATTAATAAAAAATATTTTTTTTTAAGAAAAGAGATAGCAAGCATAAAAAAGGACATAGAAACTGTAAAAAAGAACAAGTCAGAAATGAGAATACAATATTTGAAATGAAGTATAAACCAGAAGGAATAAATAGTAAGTTGGATGAGGCGAGGATAAAATCAGCAATTTGTAAGATAGGATAGAAAAAAAGAAGGGGGGGAGGGGGTAATGGAAAGATATGTACACATATAATATCTCAATTTAAAAAAAGAAGAAAGGGGGAAAAAAGAAGCAAACAAGAGGAGGAAAAAAATTTTTTTAAAAAAACCAACAAGGATAATTAAAGGGACCTTAGGGACAAAATGAAGCCGAACAGCATCCGTATCATAGAGTACCAGAAGGAGAAGAGAGAGGGTAAGGGAGCAATTTGAAGAAATGACTGAAAACTTTCCTAATTTGATGAAAGAAAAAAACGTACAAATTCAGGAAGCACAGAACATCCTTTTAGTGACAAATTACCCGATGGCCTCACAGGCACTCACAAGGCTGCAAGTCTCTGCTGATGAGCAGCCAAACCCCGGGCAAGTGGGCCTGTTTTCACGAGGTGGGGTCTCTGGCTTCAGAAAGAATAAATCCCTTCAGGGTCCAGTCTCTTTTCTCACTTAAAATAGGTTCTCCTCCCGGCCACCATGGCAGATTGTCACAGCCGTGACCCAGGGAATCTGCCTCCCTGCACCCGCCCCTTTGCAATTCCTCCCTCAGGCCGTGGGCCTTTCTGCCCTGCACTGTGGTGAGCTCCTGGCTGCCCTGACCCGTAGGGTAGGACACAGCAGGAGGGACGACCTGAGGCCCAGACCCTCAGAAGCACTGCAGCCTCTCACAACCCGGAACGCTGCCCGGAGCCCGTCAGCCCCGCGAAGTCCCACTTTTTCACCTCACGCACACGGAAACGCGTCACTGAAATTCTGTGGCTCCCCAAAATAAATTCTTTGCCCATGTGACAAATTAGGTATGACTTTGACTCATTCACACCGGATGGTTGGCTATTGTTGTGTTGGCTCTTTTTTTTTAAGCTTTACTTATTATTCAACTTTATTTTTTTTATAGTACATCTTTATTGTTCAGATTATTACAGGTATTCCTCTTTCTCCCTCTTCCTCCATAGCTCCCCTCCACCTGATTCCCAACTCCACCCCATGCCCTTACCCCCGCCCCTGTCTTCCTGCATAGGTGTAAGATTTTTGTCCAATCCCTTCCCTCACCCCTCAGACTCTCTTTCCCCTGAGAACTGTCAGTCCAATCCCTTTCTATGTCCCTGATTCTATTATGTTCAACAGTCCATTTTGTTCTTCAGATTTTTTATTCACTTGATTTTTAGATTCACTTGTTGGTAGGTATGCATTTTATGTCTTTTTGTTGTTCATAGTTTTTACCTTTACTTTTCTTCTTCTTCCTCCTCTCCTTAAAGAATACCCTCCAGCATTTCATGTAATCCTGGTTTGGCATTGATGAACTCCTTTAACTTTTTCTTGTCTGTGAAGCTCTTTATCTGACCTTCAATTCTGAATGATAACT